GCCATGCTGGGAGATTCCACACACGAAGCCGAAGGCATCATGAGGTGAGGAAGTTATCTCGCACAGGAGAGTCTGGGAGTGTGTATGTGTAGAACAGTACATGTACGTTGGCGCATTACGTAGTTGTATATAGGGTCTGCATGCTGATATAGGCATGGCGGCCCAGAACATGTGTGTTATTTGTAGACTATAACACATAGATCAACCTATATCTAGCTCGTGGCGGTATGCATGTTGGACACGGCATGCTTGATTGTGGTTGTGGTGCAAGGTGGGGCGTGGGGTCTGTGGTGTTGGTGGTGTTGGTTGTGTGGAGGTTTGCGGGAGAACATCCTATTTGGTTGAATGACATAAGAGCTATAAGAAGTCCTGCAAATCAAGAACTAACACACTGCTGGAGAACAGGGGCCTCCAATATAGCAGCCAACAGCATGTTTGCTCATGCTCGACTGCGATGTCATGATGCGCTGCATGAAATAGCGCTTCAAATCACTGCATCTGACACACAACCGACCACTGTTCCCTCCCACGTTTTTTGGGGACTGGTCGCACTTGATAAAGCAGGCAAGACCAGTTCGCACTTGGACCCCTGATCGACAGCGCACAACGGTCTCCCATAGCTCAAAGCACTCTAGTCTGTAATGTTGCATGCAGCTTCTTAGTACATTGCACACATCAACAAATAACACCTCCACACAAAGAAACACTACAATCACTACAACATGCGGCTACTCATACGTGGAACCTATGATGACGGTTACCGCTGACTCTCGATGACATCACTTTACGGTCTATATAGGATCCCGTGTGCACACAGTCTTCGCAAAAGATGAGCATGATGCGCGGTCCCATGCTCCTGGCTGCTCCCCGCTCGCACTCACGGCAGTGCTGAGTGCTGAGCATAGCAACCCTCAGCCAGATTGCAAGAAACAACGGAAAATAGCGAGACCTCGATCCAGGATCGGATGCTGACGGCTCGGCAGCTGCGATGGCACATCATCGAAGTCTGATAGTCACATATAAAGGAAACCGCCTCAACAAAAACAAATGAACCGAACCAGAATGCTTCGCTAACACCCACACCAGCATGCAGACGTACTGCAGGCACTGTACCACACACTGCATGTGTATAGCACCATTATATATACCAGGCCATACGACAGAAACCCATGCATATATACATCTAGATATATATATATATGTACATATATTTAGACAGAGAGATGGATATTAAATATATAGGCTACGTACATGTACATTAATTAAACAAAGTATATTCAGATATCTTAAAGGAGCACAACAATCACAACTGTGATGGGGCCAGTCTTAGCGACCTAAGGACAGCATGACTCGATCGGTTCAGTACTTATGTCTGTGGGTTCGGGGTCAGTGCTAAATCAGCTTTCCTGATAGATCTACCGACTATATCAACGGACCTACCTGCCACCTACGTAGCTATAGTAAGTTGCGTTCCACAAACACCCAGCTGTCGCTCGGTCCGCATCACGATCCACGGCTTTAGGCCTGGGCCTCCGCTTTCGCGGCTGGCTTGGCCTTCTTGGCACTCTTCGCGGGGCGTTTCTCCGCTGCGATCCTCAGTCGAACATAGTCGTTTCTCGGCAAACGTGCGGGTACATGCTGACAGCACGCAGACCAATATCTCAAGCAAGAAGCAAACCATTCGCCACACGAGTGTGCTTCTTGAAGCCTTCCACGAAGACCACGCCCTGATATATGTCACTGTCCCGCACTCAAACCACACGCACGGCACATAACACCACATCGTATGTCCGAGTCGCTTCCAAGAGAGCTGCTTGAACGTCTGCGGCAATGGGCGCGGGGCCCATAAGCTGCAGCTTCTTGCGAACGTCTCCAATCCCTTGGGAGCAGTCGCGAACTTTCTGGATCAGCTCCCCTTGGGACTCCAGAACTTCCAGCTCCGCGCAAAGCACCACCGCTTGGCCTTGGGCGGCGTTGGCAGCAGCAATCCAGCTTTTCACGAACAGTGGCACGTCCTCCGTGCTGATGACAGTCTCCAAATCAGAGCCCTGCATGCATGTGCAGGGAGCGCTGAGCTGGGAACACCAAGGGCACAACAATATAAATTACACGACGTGGCTGCATGACGGGCCTCCGGACGAGGGGGCCTCGCCTTCTTGTTCGGCACTTCTGTGTTGGTGTCCCCCTCTTGCCAGCAGTAGCGGAGCCATCAGCATCGACCTGCTTCTTCTTCTTCCCCCCCGGCTTTTTGTTGTCAGCCGGTGGCGGCGGCGGATTCAGCGAAGCCTGCTGGTTCGTCCCAACCTGGCCCTGCATTGGCACAGCACCGCTCATAGAGTCCAGCTGTGATGCGACTTGCGCAGCATAGGCAGGGGAGCAGCCCATGGAAATGGCGATGTCATCCTGACGACTGGTTGCAACAGATGCGACCAGTGGATATTCAAGACTGTTTTGCATGCGCACAAAAACGCACCAGATCATGTGACCGAGCCACGATCGTTTTGTTGGTGTAGGTTTTCTTCTGCCTCCCGTAATACAGAAAGGTCTCGACGGTGGCATCGTTCCTGTCCGTCGATGTCCTGCGGAACCGTGCAAATCTGTCCGAACACACTGCATGCAGTCAAAAGAACCACATGGCACCCAACGAGATGCAGGAACATGATTGATCGTGTAGGGTCCCGGAAGGTTCCGCGCGGCGTCGCGCCACGAACTGAAGTGCCTTCTCCGTGTTGCCGTCATGGAAGGCCACGATATCCTTCCAAGGATAATATTCACCTGCGCAGGAGTGTGGTGGGCTGGGCGGGGTTATCCTGGGGTGCAGGCATATATATATAT